GTCGTCAATTAAAGTAACAAAAATATATAAATTTATTAACAAGATACAACTAAACTCTTGGACGCCATATATAGGACTAACTTACATTTCGACCGTTACGTTCAACTTGGGTTTAGTTAGTCTAGTACCCGCATAGGGAGGAAGGGCGCCAGTGTGCCGCGTCGATACACTAGGCACGTATCGCCACACGCGCAAGGAAAGTGCTGACACCTCTCGGCCGCCAGCACTAACATACTCAAGCACCTCGTGATGCGGCTCCGCAGGGGCATCTGATTGGCCTGACCATGCCTTTGATTGGTCAGAGCGGAAGAGTGACCATTGCGACCGTTGCTCTCTCTACTTCCGGATGCCTAGATCGCCGTGGCGGTGCATACGCAAAAACACCTTCACTTTTACTTCGTCCGTCGTACCGGCTGGTCGCACTCCTCTCATCGTGTTTTTGTATAAAAATTATTTCTCTGTATTATCTTTCCGTTAACACGTGGCACACCACGCTTGGTAAATAAAATCTCGTCCCAAGGGATCAAAAATAGTAATCGGAAGTTTCTTTCCCCCACACGGAGTCTCATTGGCCCATTCCTTTCTCCGCGGCCCGTTCCTCGCGTTAAGGAGAACGCACCTTAACGTATCTAGTGACCAGGGAAGGAAATCCCAAATACTAAAGTCTCTGGGATCACTGAGTTCAAATTTTTAGTCTAATCGAGACAGCCCTCTGGTAAAGACGTGCTTTTCCTTGTGCTCTCTGAATAAAAATTTTCTGGTTTAAAGTTATATTTTGTATCATTTTTCATTTATAAGAACCTCATAATCCTACAATTATAAATACTTGACAAAAGTTTATGTTGGAAGTTAAAGTTTGGAAAATAATATAGACATGACCTGTACAAGTTTGGATATTTTACGTAATTTCTTATTTTTAATTTTTTTTTATGATTATTTTTATTTATATGGTTAGCAAGAAAGTGACCCACTTTTTATGAGTAATAAAATAATTTAATATTTTTTTCATCAACTTTGATCGGTGTTCCTTGTAGCCTAAGAAAGGCAGTGCTTTTTCTTTAGTGACTTTATCAATAATTTCATTCATTGTATCAAATCTAATTATTTAGTCCCCCCTTTATCTATTTAGTCCCAACAACAGTTAAGACAACATTTTCAAAAATATTATTTTTATTTCTTGAAAAACGTAAAAATGTTGAACACCGTTAAAAAAATGAACCGCATGTATGTATTGTTTTCTTTTACAAATCGCAATCGCTGAGCAGTGATCCCAGAAACTTTTGCTTGTTGATCGACACAGTGCCGTAAAATTATCGGGTTCTCAGTAAAATTATCGTACGCACAGAAAAAAAAAGTTTTTGACTAGGGCAACAAAGATTTCCCTGATTTTTTTTTAATGCAACAGTACAAAAAAAGTATAAAAGAGTATATTTTCGCGACTTAATGACCTTTTTTTTTTAGTCTTGTTCTTGTCGTCCGTCCTTTTTTCGATCCTTTTGCTATTTTGCTATGTGACTATATATGATATGACCATCCGAATACCACATACCGAATAATCGAGTAGTAGATAACAACTCTTCGAAATTTTTGACACATAAATAGCTGAGCGAACGCTGCGCTGCAATCGAAACAAAAACAAAATCGAAACATCGAAAATTGAAAATTATATTTACATATCGAATTATCGTAAATTATCGTACAAGTTGGATTTACGATCGTACAATGCTTCAAATTATTGTACGCGTACGATAATTATCGTACGAATGGGATCACTGACTGTCGCTGAGGCAATCCTCAACGGTTTTCTGTCACGTCAATAGAATCCCATAGAGACCCTATAGGAGGGACGCGCCATGTAGATTGTAAGGCTGAAAATGTGGGGGGGGGGGGACAGCTTCCGTTGCATCGAGCAGCCATGTTTATCTTTAGTATGTATTAACGGCTGTGGTTAGTTTAAGTTTGGAATACTTATAGTTTTTATTGTGATATTTATGTTTAATTATTTTGTTTTGTTTTTTAGTAGTTTTCTATAAATGTAAGTTTAATTTACTCATTTAATAGTTACAAGTATAAATGTACAAACCTAACCTATAACTTATCGTTT